ATTTCACAGAAGGTAGGCACAGCTGCTGAAGTCAGCAAGAAAGGCTCGTGGTCAAGTGCAATAGGATGGCACGTCCTGCTCCACTGGTCTGCAGTCTGCTTTCCCTCAGCTAACCTAAATCCCACTGACCCAGAAAGTGATTGTATTCAGGAATTCACACTCAGCCCATAGAGCAGCACTGTGTGCATTTATGTCCTGAGATGTTCCATCACACTGACTTGGCTATTTCTACTTCTTTTCTCCAGCTAACAGAAAAACCTGTTATGCCTGACAAAGCCCTTGAAGATTGAAAATTAGTTCTTTTGAAAATTCTCAGTGTGGATTATAGTAACAAATAGCATTGTAAAGCTACACTATTTCTTTAATTTTTCTATGTCTGTATGTGTATAAATGGAAAAGAACCCACAGTATAAAAAAAGCAATAGTTTTAGGAATATATTCAAGTAAAAAAATTCCTATAATACATTTTGATTATACCTGTACTCATTTTGCATATTCATATAGTATGTACTGGCCTCAGGTTCTCCATTTTTGAAAATGGCAAGGATAACGTCAGTCTGCATTTATTTTTCAAACAGTAATTTTTTTCCCCAATTTTCCAATAATATTTAAGCTTTCAATGTTATACAAATTGTAGGCAAACTGTTCTGGTATTTGAATTCACTAATAAAAATATTTTATTCCTATGTCTGTAATAAATGCAACACAAGTTGCATTCTTTAGCCTCCTGCAAATCTGCAGAATCCTTTCAGTGATTGCCTGTGAGGGAAGTCATTGCTGAACGCATTGCTCACTATGTGTAATCATAGCAAAAACCCACGTGCACTACTCACCATTTTTTCTCTCTCCAGCTCCAAACTGAAGCGATCTTGTAATTCAACTTGAGTCTGAAGTCTTTTCTTCTCTTCCTCAGCAGCACGAGCAGCTGCTGCTTCTAGTTGCTGGAAAAGAGAGGCAGGGGAAGAAAAGAAGGAAAAAAAACCCCAGTTTGTCAAAACTAAAAAATTTGGATTGAATTTTATCTAATAATTTTGTTTTTTAACAAAAATGGAAGAAACCTTCAAGAAGCATTAAGACACCAGTTTGTTTTTTTTTTTAATGTCTGAGGCTATTCTCAATTTCTAAATATAATCTTATTATTTGCAAGATGACTTTAAATTTACCAATGAAAACTCAATTATTAGATTTCCTCCAAGTTTCCTTTGAGTCCTGCTTTGCACAACTGATAGAAATCCCTCTATTTCCTTCTCTATTTCATATGGGACAGAAAACTATTATTATGGAAAATGACATCCCAGGCAGGACTGCACAGGAGTTCCAACAGTGAAAACATGCCAGCATGCACGGAGTTCATAGAGAAACAAGTTCATAGAGAAATAGAAGCAAGAAGCATTAAATTGCCATGAGAAAGCAGAAGTGCTGCAAACTTTGACTATAATAAGTGATTGTGCTGTTGTGAATCACATCCCTTTAACATGCCCTAAATTGCCATGTAAGGGAAATAAACTTCTAGTCAATCATCATCACTTGAAATTAGGGGGAGAATTAGCCTAGTCAGAGTTAAGGCCTAGGAAACAGCTAAGGCCTTAACCCCTTTTTGCAACTTATACAACTTTTTTTTTTTTTTTGCATCGTGATTTCACAAATAGTCATCACAGTTTTTCCTTTCTTCAGGATTTCAATAGTATGTATTTTTAGAATGTGTGGAAGGTTACAAGTGTACAAGTACCAGCCAAAACTTCACCAATACTGAACCCAAATTAATTCTTTCACAGAATTTTCCTACGAAACTTATCTGATGCTTCAGAGGAAACAAAGCAAGCACTCTTCTTTCATAATACACTAAGCTGGTGAAATTGCTTCCACAGACCTTCAGTAAGAGCAGGATGTCCATCTTCAGTATTTTTGGAAGGTACTGCATTTAAACCACCTTCCTTCACACAACTTAGATGAACTAATGAGATGCCTAAATGATTAAAACTGCCAAGCTAAAACTTTCATTCCTTTAAGTGCTTGTGATATCACTCTAGTCTGAAATAGATGGGAAGAAGGGAAGGAAAAAGCTCCTAGTTTGTTTTTAAGCTGTAGAAGATAGTACAGAATTGCTCTCCTTTGAAAGGCTTAAATGATGCCAGTCTTTTAGAAGTAGTATTCCTCCTCTGCCAGAACATTTAAAAGCATGTAATTGTAGTCAAATCCAAGATGCCTATTTAAGTGAAATTTTCTTTTGATTTCCTTCCCCGCTTTGAAATTAAACAAACATTGCCAATACTGAGCCGAGGGTGAACGTGCAGAGTCACAGGCAGGGGTGGGTGCTAGGCATTTGCCAGATAGCTCAACAAGAAAATACACTTTTTGTCCACTCTTTATCAGCAACTTCCTGCTTAATTGATGTCAGAAGACATCAGTTCCTGGCAGGTAAGGTTACTGGCAACAACTGTGCAATTTAGGGAAAAGTCCCAAATGGGGGTGGGAGGGAGGGGGAATCAACAGGAATACACCATTCCAGCAGGGGTTAGTTAGCACACAGTCTCTGAAGCCCATGCAAGACCCCAACTTGAAACGAAAAAGGTGCACAAGCCTTGTGCATGCTCTCCTGGTAAGAAAACCTCACCTTTCAGTCTGTTTACTGTGCGTACCTCAAAATTCCATTTAAAAATATGAAAAAAAAAAACCCTCTTTTAGACAAAGGCTCTTATTCTTCTGAAATTTTGTACTGCAGGAGCTATCAAGATGCAAACCAGTCTCAGAGTGCACTTTGGCAGCTGCTGCGTAAGTGGTGGCTCACTGCCATTAGGAGCAAATCTAACTCTAAGAACACTTAGAACACTTCAGAACACTTCAGTTTCCTGAACCATTTACAAAGCTTTTTCCTTGAAGAACAGTTTTCTAACTTATCAAACACTTTACGTTCCTCCAACACAGTACCTCCCCACTAATTCCACTTAGTCAAAGTGCAGTTGTTTAGTCTCTGACATGAACTACTCTCCCTGACAAGTCATTTTAAACCAATCCACTGCAAAGATGCTTCTTGCCGCAACTCTCTTTAGTTTACCCATTGTGATTTCTGCAGAACTCCCTGGAGCCTGTCAACATCCTGCTGCTCCTTTGGGGTTACTCTCATGTTGTATTCCCCCCAACTTTTTCTCAATAAAGTAAACTCAACACTGAAATCTAGCCCTGTGCTTTCTGTTAACAGGTATATTATTTACCAGTAACTTGCAGGTAACACAGGCTATTCTTTAAACCATTTTGCATTTTGAATCAAACACATGGTAGAATATAGGTGCTAAAATTAAATTTAAAAATGGTTTTCCACTGTCAGACCCCATTTAAGGCAAACAGAATAATACCCACATCAGTACTGTCAGTGCAAGGTTAACTAGAAGACGACAAATTTCTGCTCACCGCAAATTATGACTTAATAGCAAGACTTTTAAAAAGATACATTTTGGACAATTTTATTTGCTTTCTAGACTTGGCACTTTTAACATGCTATTTATAGCCACAAAGATCATGAAAGCTTTTTTTTTTTTTTCTAACTGAGGGCTAAAATTAGTTAGTGTTTCTCATTTATGAAAAAACTCAAGCAACGATGCAGACTTGTCCTAAATGGGAATGCAAAAAAATCAAATTAATTTAGGAAGGTAGCGAACAAAAGACTCTTTAGACGAAGCAAAGATCTGGAGTGCTCTAGCAGCAGGGACTCAACAGATGAAATGCCAGGCAGCAGGGGAGGAGGGAGGCATTTGACGGCATCCAAAGGTATTTCCAAGGCACACTCCTCATTAAAAGGTATCACGGCAGTAAAAGCCGTAGTAACTCTACTTGCAAGTCTTTAAACAGAAAAGATAGAAAGTATATCTGGACACTATTCAAGTCTCTGTACCAGTTGTCCCAAAGTACAAAGATCCATCAGCATGTTCAATCTACTGTTAAGAGTGTGCAGCCACAACAAAGGCACCTTAGTGGCTCCTGACAGTCTTTAGACTAAAAAACTGTCTACACAGAAAATAATGTATTCAGCAAGTTGTCTGCTAATACTCAGAGATGTCTAGTCCAATCCTCAGGCTTTCAGAAGTCAATCCAGCATTTACAAGGAACATGCATTTAAACAGTTTATAAATAGTTGCTATGTGTCTCAGCTCTGTAAGTCTCTTCCAAACTACTCTGATAAAATTATGCCTATACATACTCACAAAATTGCTTTGCATCTTTGGAATCTCTATAAATTAAATTTATACCTCTGGAAACTACATTTGTGTGAAGAGAAAAGTTCCCACACTATACAATTCACATAACAACTTTGGAAAAACTACCTAAGAAAATCTTGATGAGAAGCCCCAAGTTTGACAGCCTCATCTGACAGAAAAAAAACCCCAAAAACCCACAAGTAACTGAAAATACTAGGCTCTCCAGTCCCCAAACACCATCCTCACAGCTGGGGTTTTCTTTCACACTAGCTTCCCCATACCCTTATAAGTAGAGGGGACACAGCTGGGCCACGAGTTACCCCAAGCCTGCTAAACAGCCCTTAGCAACCGCTGCAGTCAATGCTGAAGGCTTTACTGCAGGCTCAACCAGCAGATCTACTTGCTTTGGGGGCTGACACCGACACAAGCTCACCTCCTCCGGAGGAGTTCGCTCAATGTGTCTGAACACCCAAACAGGGAATAGGTGCCTAATCATACTTCAGGAAGCCCAGCTCAACCACAGAGATTGAGCTTAAAGGTTAGCAGCTCCAACTCCCACCTTTCGCACAGTCTCCAGTTCCTTCTGCTTGTTCTCGTTGGCTGTTTGCAGTTCTTTCATCTGCCGCTCCAGCTCTTCTTGCTCAGCTAACAGCTTCTGGCGCAATTCTTTTCGTTTTTGGCGTGCTTCTTTGTGGGGTGGAGGGCTTCCCACTCTCAGCAGGTTTACAGTGGTCTGTATAGCTGGAAAGGAGTGTGCCAGACCAAGGGAGAGGAAGAGGACACCAGTGAAGGTAAATGCTAAACTTTTGGAATAGCCTTAGTGAATGAATACTTGTGGTGTGTTGTTTGGGGTTTTTTAATGTACTTTTAAATCAGAAATAACTGTTGTCGCTTCTCCTAATTCTCAGGCTAGCTGTCAACACAAACCAAAAGCGAAAGACATCTGGCTTTCAGTAATGGCTGTGGACCACAAGGTTAAGGTTCGGCAATTCCAATGCATTATGTCAATTCCAATATTGATTGCTAAAAGGACATACAAGTCGCTCCTACGCCTAGCTGGAAAAAAACCCCCAAACTAAAACCCACCAAAACCCCAACACTTCAACCTTTCATACTACCTAGATTCAGTGACTAATCAAGCAGTAAGATGTTATCTAACATATACATCACTTAACTTCCCTAGAACCAACCTTAAATCCTTTATTCTTACTGATACTCTAAGGAAAACTTTCTCCAGTAAGAAAGTAGCTCTCATTCACTTACATTCAGTCAGGAAATATTCAGAGACCAACTACAGCTGTGAAAAAAAGATCTCCTTTTGGAACTAAGTAATCATTTGTCATACATCAGACTGGTGCAATTAAACACATGCTTTAGGTAAAGAGGGAAATGCAAATGAAAGCACACAGCTCCAAATATTTAAATGCTGTACATACTTCAATGGCATTGGCAACAGTGGGTGTGCAAGGACTTCTACCTTAATCTGCGAAAGACGCATGTAACTATCACTCAACACATATCTGGGACGGTCTCACAGGAGGGTCCCTTCACCACGGGAATAGAAAAGGAAGACCCAATTCCCAGCCTTATCCTCAGCTCACCAAACCACACTACCTCAAGCAAAGCCAGCATTTTATGATGCCAAAATGAACAAGCTTTCCCTTTCTCCCCAAAAGCAACAATTTACAATGTATTCCCCTTCCCTTCCCCATCGCTAGAAGTACAGCCAATATAGAAGAAACAAACAACAATATTTATTTCATTTTGGTTATGGCTGCCTAAATTGAGGCACCAAAATGACAGAAACCAATTCCTCTTATGTGGATCCTTAGCTCTTCCTGACTCTCAGGTTTCTTAAAGATCTTTTTCATATGTCCAAAACGGAGACATCGAAAATCACAAGACCAGGAATTTCAAATTTGAATAAAGCGCAGCTGTAAGACTTCAGCTTACCTGAACTTTCACATAACTAAGATTTTTGAAACCTCACCTTGAATCCACTCCTGCTTCTTCTTTTTATCTGAGGCACTGATCTCAAAGCTTTTGTCAAGACATTTTATGAGAAAAAGGCATTTCTTTCCATCTTTGTCAGGCAAGGCCTAGAATGGGTAACAAAAGGATTAGCCTTGCAAACACTGAAATCTAAGTTATATTGTAAAGCCCCACATATGCAGGTATCTATTAGAGCTACAAATACGAGCAGCAAGAACCTTTATTAAGGGTGTTTATGAACTGTTTTTATACCAAGTAAAAAAAGCTCTGTTAAAGATATCAGGAGTCAATCACACAAAAAAGGATTAATTCTTATCTTTAAGAGACATTCATAGTTTTTGGTGGTGTTTTGGTTTTTTTTTACCTCTACACAACAGTTGCCATCCAGTATGATGTCTCCCTTCTTGTCCTTTAAATCTTCACTTACGTAGTAGGAAATAATATTGGGTTTTAGCACAAACCATCGTTCTGTCCAATTTTTCCTTTTGTGACCTTTTTTCAACATATAGCCCTGTAAAAAGCAACAGATCAGCTGAAATGCCCAGCCTCTGTTGAACCACCTGGTCTTTTGGTTATGTGGCTCAGAGGCCCAGTAGAGCAGACAGAAAAGTTAGCCCAAGGCCCTAAATACTTCACCTACGTACTTCCATTCCTAATACCAGCACACTGCTAATGGTTAGCCCGTGAAAAACTACTCACTGTTCTTCTGTCCAGTCTTTAAGTAACTGGGTTACCTGAAGAACTGAATAATTATTATTATATCAAGTCATTATTACTAGTCTTCAGTCCTCTTTGATGACCTTTACTACTTAATTTTCTTCAGTTAAGCAGAGACATTTGCCATCACTGAGACTGTAATACTTTAACAACAGCCATTATTCAAAATCAGTCCCGTGTGGATGCACACCCCAGTGACAGATGTGGGCCTACATCTACGCACTGTAAATCCAGCCTGCTACAGAATACTCCCAGGGACAGAGCAGAAGCAACCCAGTCCTGGGAGTGGCTCTGCCCTACCAACACACCCATTTAGCTGCGCCCCACTGAAGAAGCGATCCCATATAGGATACTTCAATGAGTATGTTAGAGAAACTGGTAACAGAACCATACTCCTGGCATTTTTATTGGATGGCATATGGGAACATTGGTGAAGCCTTGATGTTCCTTAAAGGAACAGAGTTGTACCTTGAGTTAAACAATGCCAAGATTTCACTCACAGTGTTTTATTTCTCTCGAAAGACGATCCACTCAAATTCCTATATGAGAAGAACACTTGAAAGCCTTAACAAGACTATTTCAAAAGAAGGAAAAGACCACACTTTGCCACTGAGCTTTATACAAAGAATAAAAAAGAAATATAAAAGAATAAAGAATATAAAAGAATAAAAATTATAATCTTCTGTAATGACAATAAATAGAGCTGGTATCATGATTAAATCATCCAAGTTTGCCTCTGTTGAATATTAACATATCTAAAATATAAGCAGCAATACTAAGTGCAGTTATACTAATAACCCTGTTATACATTATCCAGTGTGGCTACGGCAATTCAAAAACCACCTCATGGAAAAGGGTGCACAGAGAATTATATAATAATTGGTCATTCTTTCAAGCCTTTGATCTTTAATGATCTTATCAGGGGCACTGCTGTAACCTAGTCAGTTCTAGAGTTCCAAAGTTTGCCAGTATTTCAGCTATACCTGCGATATTCCCCAATTACTTTTGTCTGATTTCTAACTTCAGAAAAAAGTCTAATCACAGATGAAACCAAAACACCTACATCAATATAGCTATGAACAAGCCATACAGAAAGCACTGTACTGAAAGTATTCCAGATTAAGAGGATGGAAAAGTTGGAAAGGAGACCAAGGAACATTTTTCTGTAATGGCTTTTAGCTATAGCAATTTTGGATACAAGCAAACAAATAAATGTGCTGTGGCATAGTGAAGTCAAAGGTGTCTCTCTGTACAGGTCTGAGGGGAAAAAAAATTCAGGACAGTTGGAGAAGCTCTGTTGTTTAAAAAAACAAAAGAAAACAAAAAAGAACAACTGCCCTATACATACAGTTTATCTGTGCTCAGCTTTTCCAGCCAGTTAAACATGGCCAGAGCCAAGGCCATGCCTATTCCCCTGTGCTATCCCCCTTGCTCCAGAACAGGAACGCACAAAGAAACAGCTTTGTTTGCTGCCTCTGTACTTGGGTCCAAAGTCTGGGTGGTCACAAGGGCGTGTGAAGGACTCCCACAGCTTCACTCTTTCATGCCTTGCATAGCCTAAGTCATAACCAGGTGTTTCTCCCCTTCCTGACATACTGAATTTGCTTTCAAAGTCAAATCAGAATGATATCTTCCCCTCAAATTTCTGCAAAATCTTTACCTATTCTTTCAATGCATCAGCTACTTCTCACCTTCCAAGAGCCCACTGACAGCTCCTGGGGATCTTTTCACACCAACTATCACATGAACAACACATCTTTCAGAAAACTAAATATCACAAATTTAATTATCACTGCTACCCTCCATAAGCCTCGGAGACTCAGGATAAGCATACACTAAAAAGGGTAATATGACACTTGGCTACAATACAATATGTCATTAATTAATACCTTGAAGTAATCACATACTGCAATAGACAGGACAATTCTGTGATGCAACAAGGTATAAGGGTACAAGCTGTGACCCAACCAGACGTTTAAGTTACACTGGGAACTCTGTTCTCCATCAGGCCGGTGACTGTCCAGGAGGCGCTGGGCCAAATCTCGACACAAACTATTTTTAAGTGTCAAGGAACCATTCAAAGGCACTCAGACATCCTTGAGAAAGAGGCCCAGCCATCAAGAGAGGAAAGAAAGGAGACAGTTTTTTTTAAAAAAAAAAAAAAAAAAAAAAAAGGCGTGGGGGAGAAGAGAGAGACACAATGCAGTATGAAAACTGAAAAGAAATCTGATTTCCTCAAAAGTTTCAAGTGGAAGGACTGACCTGACACTGGTTATTTTATTTTCATAGTATTAAACAGCAAAATGACTTAATTTTGCCCTCAACTGGTTATGTGTGTGTGTATTGTGTCCAGCCCTAACCTCCAAGAGGCAACCAGTAGTTAACAAAAATAGACTTTTGCATTGTTCTGTGGATATTCTGAAAGAATTTCCTGTGCCAAGACCTTCTGATGATTTCTTCAGAACAGCTTAGGAAAGCCTGCCAAGAAAGCCTTTGTTTCTCTCCTCACCAAGAAATCAAAGATGAAAAAAATTCTCTGTCAGGTAAAAGTCAATTTTAAATAGCTCTCTAGGTAAGCTCTGCTCTGAGCCCTCAGGTCCCTGTGATATTTATACTTCTCAAGAAAGAAATGCAGTTTTTAAAGTCACTCCTAAACTGATAATCCAGCCACTGGAAATCTGAAGAAACTGGAGGGTGACAGAAGTTTGCTAAGAATATAAAGGTCAGCATGACTTCTTGTGTTTCAGTACAGGTAACTAAATTGTCAGTCACGTAGCCTGCTAAGCAGAACAAGAAGAGAGAGAGCTCTAGAGCTCTTCTATACCTTTTTGCCCTGGTGAAGTGGGGCAACTTAGAAGCAGACCTTTCAGCTGGAGCAATATCTTTGTCCAGACTCCCGTGTTTGAATACAGAGGTTATCATCAGCACGACTTATATTTGCTATAACATAACTGAAACTAGAAAAAAGTTTGAAGAGTTGTCACCAGTTTAAGAACTGACAATGCATTGCAGCTATTCTGTCAGCTAACAAGCATTATACTTGTATAAAAAAGGTTGTATTTCAAGTCAGAGCACACTTCTCTTATTTTCTAAAAACAAACTCTCCCAACAAGCAACTCATTCATAATAGTGCAACAATTACAACAATCTCAACAGCAGCACGATTTCTCTTTTATACAAATAAGCTCATATTAAAGAACCCTTATAAGTAATTTACCTTATTTCCCCCTGCTCATTATCCATCAAGTAAAGAAATTTCAGTACAAGGTGAACATTTTCTAATTATGAAATAAATTGTTCTACTTTAAAACACTAGTTCTCTGTGGTTCTTACCTGTTTGAGTACATCTAATATGAGTTCATTAAAGACTTCATTGATTGCCATGGACACCGTCTGTCGGTCCATCCCTTTACTAAACTGCCCACTTCCGATGAGATCAATCAGCTCCCATGCAGAAAGACCTTCTCGACTGGTGTTGAGAGCAATCTTATAATGGTCAAACTGCTCTTGCTGCCAGCCTGCTCCCATTGCTTCGGTGAGTTTTTTAAGTAAATATTCAATCTGTACAGAAATACAAACAGAAACTAATCATTTTCAGCAGGCACAGAAATCAAGTGTTTCAGAGCTGTAAACTAAGCTTCTCCTAGATTCCTACATTCACATGTAGGCCCTAAACATTGGTGGTTTAATTAGAAAAGATTTTAGGCTCCTGTCTTAGTTGAACTTTCAACTGCCAAGCCCATCCCACAGCTACTCTCTTCATAATAAAGAAACAGAGAATTGAACCTGACAGCCTCTTTTAATATTTCAAATTCCTACAGAACACATGGGACCTTCCCTGCAACAGCTTCCAAACAGTGATGATTGAAGTGTCAGAACGAAAGAAGTTTCAAAAAGTGTTCTTATAAGATGAAAAGCAAACAAAAATTAGAAAATGCTTGTCTAGTTTGACATTAGAAAATGTCCAGTTTGGACAAGCAGTGAAATGAAAAACTACCGAGGTACGATCACATATCTTAGTCTCCACCTGATCCCTCTTCTCTAGCTCTCAAGCACTCCATCACTGGACACAATCTTGGCAGATGTATCAAGAGAAGTAAAAGGACAGGTCTTTCACATCCGCTTTTATTGTTTCCAAAATAAACTCTCCTTTTCCTTTAATCTTTCGTCATTCTGTAAGCATTATCATACACAGGGTAATAACAGTAATAACACTAGTAAAAATAAACACAAGAATGAAAAAGAGGGAAAGAAGGCTGCGTTTCTTCATCTGTTTATGTTGTTTTTAAAAATTCATCACTGATTGATCTTTAAACTAGTTTGCAGTATTTTAAACTAAGTCCATTTGCAGCTTTGGGCACGTGTAAAATGCTTTGAGTGGTTCTTTAGACAAAATAATTGGTGAGTCCTTCTGCAAAGACCTCTACACAACAAAGTAAAAATCAGGTTTATAAGATTCTGTGCCTGAAGTTACAAGATACCAATTACAGCATTTAACCCAGTTTTGAAGACAGACCAAGCTAATGCAGGCTTCTGCTATTTTGGGTAATGGCTCACTGGGTTTCCTTGCCAGCTTCACAGGAAACCTGTCTGCCTTCAGCAACCAGCCAAGGCAGCCAGTAAAGCTGCCTGCACCCTCCCTAAGGTGGAAGCCTGTGGAGAGGGTGCTCAGTGCCTCTGCACCGCAGCACCCTCCTACACCAGTCCACCACAGGGACAGGGCAGCACCACCTCCCCCAAGGGCTGGCCTTCTCTCCAGCCACTGCAAGGCCAGCACAGAATCCCTTCCTGGTAGGTCAGTTCACAAGCCTGCAGGCTCCTCTCAGCTGTCCCAGTTCTCTACAGGGTGGGAACCGCACACTGCAGGAGGTGGGGAGGGAAAGCACTACGATCCTTCCAGATTCTCTCTGTGTATGTGGAAATACACAGATTTCCTTATGTGCTGCTCTTCTGAAGGTTAGTCCTTCAGGCCAGTCTGCTCCACTTTCAGTGCACCTCTTTTAGGTGTGGTTTTGGAAACACTGACTCAGCAGTCTGAATCCCATTATCAAAAATTACTAAGGTGTACATACAGCATGAACGTGCCTCATTGAAAAGTCGTAGAAACCAAATGATTTCCAGGACTCCATTTTCTAATCACCAATTCTGGTTCACCTCTGTTCCTCAGCACTGCTTGAAAACACAATGTAACTTCTCCTACAGGTAACAAAAACCCTGGGTCAGAAAACCAGAGGATGTTTCACCACAGAATAAATTTAACTTTCCAGCTACAGCTCGGAGTCACATTTCAGCTGGTCTAATAGGCTTCTGAGCACCCAGCAGTCTCTATGTAAGAGATTTGGGAGTACAAAGAAATAAAGAAATGTTTTTTCACCACAAGGACTCCCAGGCCCCAAGGTTTTGATGCAGCATACATGCTCATTTTTGTGGCTGCTGCTTCTCTCTCTTGCAACTGGTACAGGCAAATCCCTTCCTTTCCCTCACATCTATGATGAAACACACAAGTGTGTAGCTGAACACACTCATCTGGCAAAGCAGTAAATCACTGAATTCACCCTACAGATGGGTGGGCTTTTCTCACTATTTCAGCTCAGTAACTGTTCTTAGTCTCACAGCCCCTACTCCAGTAGGATGTGGGCTAATGCAAAATGGGGAAGCTACTGAAAGCTGCTGCACTGTCTAGAGGAAAGTTCCTGCTCCACTGAATGAGCAGGAAGCGCGTATCCCTCCAAGATGTTGCTGTCATGTCCTCCTCGTAAGGACTGTCTTAAGACAACACAGGCTGGTCAAGCACAGAATACATCTCCAGGGTGGGTACAGAAGATGTAAAGAGCCCTGTTTTTCATTTCAGCTTCACTGAGTAAGGCATTTAAGTATTTTTAGCTCCTCATGCAATTCCCACTAGCAAAGATATGATTTGAACAGAGGCCTCTGCAAAAGTGGCATTCAAACTGTAGATAAGTACAACCAACACAGGGTACAATGTTTATGGCAATCAGCAAAGACGACTTTCAGCCCTGCACTGTGCCCATCTGCCCTTTGAGGAAAGCACCCCCAGGGAGAGCATCGGCCTCCTGGTGCCGCAGTGCCAGGGCTCTGCTGTGCAATCAATGTTCAACGTTGCTCATACCTGACTGTTGACTGGAACGGGTCATACAACTGTGCTTTGCAGTGGTTCCATACGTAGCTCTGAATAGCTGGAGTCAGTAGTCACATGATAGCAAGGAAATTTTAGCATGCCCTCCCAAGCAACCAACATAACTTTACTAGATTTTTGTAAAATTCAGTTACTGAATCCTTTAAAAATCTTTAAAATATGCTTTGCTGATTTTCACTCTCCAAAATCCTTAGGTTAAAATACTAATCCAAGGCTTTTGAGCATCAACTACCATAAATCTTCAGCATTCAGTTAAGGGCAGGAAACAGCTTACTTCCTACTCTAGGCAAGTTTTATAGAAAAAAAAAAACAAAAACAACAAACCCAAAACAAAACAAAAAACCCCAACCACCCAAAAAAGCCCTTCACAGCACGTAAGAACAGTAGCACTGTGGACTTGTTTCAAAACAAATCTCCTAAAACTTGAATTTGATGAGCTGAAATGAGCTCTGGCATCAATGCAGGAGTAACTTTTTTCTCTGTGTTCAAAACACATTCTGCCGCTTAGCTCAGTTCGTCTGAGCAGCACCAGTTCTGAACTACGATCCTGTACTTTGGTTGAAAGGAAAGCTAAAATAACTGAGGCTTAATTAGGTAGATAATATACCTGCCAAAATGCTATACGGTAATTAAAAAAAAAATCATTAAAACTTAATGAACTTTAAAATGTATTGTTCCAAGATTTCACAACCTATTACACTGCTTGAGGCATGCGGCTCTCAAATTCCTTTGGTTAATTATGTCAAAGTACTAGGACTCACTTACAGACAAAGGGACACACACATACAAACCAGAAAAACCCCACTTGAATAGATTTTTTCACTTTTTTACTCAAGCCACAGGAACAAATGTATATCAAACTAATGGTCTGGAAAAGAAGCAATGCAAAACTCTTGGCTAGTACATGTTATCATGTAATGCACTAAAAATAAGTCAACATAACCTTTCTTTTAATGTAATTTGTACACGTTTTACCTTATTTTGATTATTAGAACAGATTTAAACATTTAAGTCTGCTAATGCCCATCTACAAGTCACTAACATGACAACAAATCCCACTGAAGTACATAAAATATCTTATTATTTTAAAATACACTAACTTGTCTTAACTGAAAAAGGACCTGTGCATATTACAATTTCATTTCTTTAAAAAAAAAAAAAAAAAAACTTTATCTTGCATTCAGATAAGTACACAGCTAACCAAAGCCCCCAGAAAAAAAAATTATCTACCATATCTGCTCAATAGCAACAGTGAGTGTTGGGGTGGGATATAAATATGGAACAGTGCAAGGCAAATATAAAGTAGTAAGTTGGATCTGGTAAGTGTGCAAGCAAAGAAAAGACCATTGATTATATGCTCAAATGAGGAACTTCTGAGAGCAAACAGCATTTCCCCTCCTCCACAGAGACACATGTCAACTCAGCAAATAACTGACAAGTCTACTGGCTCAAACATAACCTACTCTTGTTGTTAAAAAGTTGAGTGTTGAAAAGTAAATGTGAAGCAACATTTGCTGCTATTGCCTGGACCTTACGGACATAAAAACACAAGGGGGTTGCTAACGCTACATATGCTGGTACAGATCAACTGGCTCCACAGTACAAAAACTAGCTTCCATCTCAAGTCAACAGAAACTTTTCAGCCAGAATTTTGCCAAGAGAAAGCAAAAATAGTATCAAGAACAGAGGCTCTTTAACATAAGCTATGCAGCCTGTTTGGTACCTTCTTTCAGAGGGCACTTTCTTTTCCCATGTTTCAAAACCTATTTGCTTTGCTTTTCCAGGTATTCCTGGCACTATCCTCCATGGGGAATGAAGTATCATAGATGCTTCACATATTTTTCTGATATACAAGTGGGCCTCTTAGAAGATGAAAAATGAAAAATAATGTCAAGGAGGCCTTCATGCCCAGCAGAGCACAGCAAACAAGGCTATTCTGGTTCATGCTATTCAAATAAGGTTTGTGATATTAACAGAGCAGATGTAAAAAGTCTATTCACATTGTACAAAATTCTGTGGAAGCACAAGTTACTGGGCAAGAGACATGAAAGCAATTATATCCCCTTTCAGAGTCATCATCAATTCCTTTTTTTCATCCCATCAGAACACAGCTTTTAAGTCAAATATTTGTTTCTTCCTTTCCACCAACAAAAAACCAACCCATACTAGAATTTATTAAACTTCATGGACAATAACTACTCTAGATTAGTAGACTTTGCAAAAACCACATTCATTATGCAGTGTAAGCCATTCTCTTCTTTCTTTTAAATTAAATTAGCATTAGATAATATAATAAAGAACAACCTAAAAACCAGTGTAACATGTAAACCCTAAGGTCAACCCGCTGCATAAGCTGAAAACTGTCTTATTTTTTGCAGCAATCAAGGAAAAGAATAGTGAAATGGGAAGAACAGATGCAAGTCATTAAGTGACTGAACACCTTTCTACCCATCATCAGCAACTTCTGGAGGTCATGGGTCAATTAAAACACCACACAAGCATCTTTCATTCTAGTTGTATAATTTTTTATTTTATTTCTGAATGGGCAAGGTTCAATTCCCAGTATTTCATTCACTGTATCAGTTTCTGATACTAGAATATAGAACAAGAAAGCAAATGTGGTCATGAAAAACCTTTTTCTGCAAGAAATGCCTCCAGAAGAATCACCCCTGGACAGCTTCAGACTTTCACCTCCTTGATCTAAAAAACACCACCTCATTTTCAAATGCACAGAAAGCCATACAAGGTTTAGACCCCCTTTGTCCTATCTAGGAGGATTATAGAATCATTAAGGTTGGAAAAGACCTCTAAGATCATCAAGTCCAATCATCAACCCAACACCACCACGCCTACTAAACCATGTCCCGAAGTGCCATGTATAACGTTTTTTTAACACCTCCAGGGATTAGAAATGCTACATGTTAATACAGTTGAAGGCTAGAAGACAAGAGAAAAATGGCTGTACAAAACTTCTTTCCTCAAGAAGCCAGGCTTAAAAAGCACAGACATCAAATACATTTGGCTCATTTAAAACAAGTTACGTGAACTCTGTATTACAATATATAAAGACTGTGTAGCTTACAGTGTACATATCTGCAAGTTTCACCATTAAGGATGGCCCAGAAACACAGCTAACCACATACCACAGCTTTCAGGCGATAAAGCATTCCCAGGCCTGTAGTCACATGTTCAGAAATAAGAAAGGGGAAGTGTTTGGAAACCTTTTTATTAAACAGAAATTGTCTGGTCAAACAATACCAAGGCACACAAATGAGTCTGTAACAACCAAGAGGTGAGTTGTAAGGGAAGCTCATGATAGAGTGGAAATATTTCTCCTCTTATGGATACCGTTCTCTCCACTTCTCTTCCCTTTATTTCACCCTTCTCATGGAAGGGATAATGCCTATGAGAGCTGAAGGAAACACACACTTGGATGTCTGCATCTCAGATGACCTAGTGGAAAAGACTGCCTGCAGGGAGGGGAAGGAGCTCCCACCCAGGCCCCCACTTTAGGCACATTAGCAATATAATTGCTTGGTAAAGCTCTGCCCACCGTACTAGGATGCAATTCTGTCGTTAGCCAAGAATTGTATTAATTCTGAAAGCTGTCCATCAGGGCTACTTTTAACTAGAGCAAACAAAATACAGCATTGGTTTTTTCCAGTCTATCTGTTTGAAATACTGCATTCACACAGTACACAGGAGTGTTTTACTTCGTGCACAGCAAGACTTCTCACTTGAAAAGGCAGGGAGCTTTCAGATTTGACACCATTTTGTGTCTCCCTAGGACATGAGCACCTTTGCAAAAGAGACATTCATGGATCTCTATTCCTTTCCAACTCTCCTAACTGCTCTCAGCTGCCCATCAGTCACCAGCAGAACCTACATCAGAGCCCAAGCCCATTACCAGCTTCTGTCTCTCTGTGACCTGACTTCTCCCCATAACTTAGGGGGATCCTCTCAAGCTTGAAGTCACATCTCAAAACTCTACCCCCTAACCCAGGCCCTTTCCCACGCTGGATTTTACTAACCTTATTTCCCTCAAGTGCAGGGCTGCCATCTCTCCTTCCATGGCAGGTGAGGAGCACAGGCCAGATGCTGCCTCTGCCTTTCAGCCTGGCCTCTGCCAAACAAGCAACTTCTGGCCCTTGTATCTCCTCTCCATTGCTTTCAAATTCCCTCTTTGTAACTGCTTTCTTCACTTCACTCTTTCTAAAGCTTTCCTCAGCCTGTGTCTCCAAAACCTTTCCAAAGTAGCCATTCTTCCCTCCTCTGGCTGAGCTGCAGCTGTTCCCAATTTGCTGTCCATTCAACACCTGGGCAGGGAATCAAGACCTAACACCTTGCAGATGGGGTAACAGCCCCATCACAATTAGCTGTCTAATATGAAAGGCCTAGCACAGCTGCACTAGTGCAAAAGTACACAACACGGGCAAGAAGGAAGGACAGCAGCCTCAATCTTTAGTCAGCACAGGGTAAAGAAGGTGAAACTGCACCCAAACAGGAGAGTTTTCCAGATATGAAATTGTTCAAATGAGTGCAGAAACATTCATCTCATTAAAAAAAGAAAAAAAAGAAAATCAGACTTCCAAGGAGGAGAAAGAGAATGCATCCTCATAGCCACATAAAGTTGTATCAATACATTCACTGGAGACCTAAGATGACCTATTATAATCCTGCCATCCACAAGATGGGATGCAAAAATTTTCAAGGGATCACCCTTCCAACCTGAAAGTATGAGGCAAGTTTCCTAGTTACTTGTAAAGAGGAAACAAAATCTCCGAAACCCAAAAGCCTGTGAGGTGGGAGGAGCGGAAACAATTCCACACAAAGGACTCCAAGCCAGAAACTGCAGTCAATTGTGTGCTGCAATGTTCTCAGCCAATGATAAAAGCAACAGGGAGGGAGGGAAGGAAAGCTTGCTCCCTGGCTGTGATGCTACAGTCACCCATGAGAGGTCCACATTGGTCTCACCAAAACATAAAAGATCACAGAACGGTGATGCTTCCATCACCCTCTTCTCTGTTCTTCACTTTGCTAAAATTTCCTCACTTTATACATGATGTGCAAGCCATTTTGTAATTAAATGACAGGACACAATATAAAGTGGTGAAGACTAAATATATAATCAAGCTTTATTATGAACTCAAGAGGCATAAAAAGTAAATGGAAAAATACCTTTACTAGGTACCAGCATAATTTTTAACACTATTGAAAAGTATTATTTTCAGGTAAAAATTCTCAGCACTAAGACAACAACTACAAGTTTGTACAAAAAAAAATGCTTTGCAAGTCTGGAGTTTAGATTTAACATTACAAAACCCCAGACATAAGAACTTAAAAGGTAGATATTAAAGGTCTCACAGAGAAAAAGCAAAACTGACTGAAACTGAGACTTTGCATATTTACTTTTGGAATTTTGTGTAGTAAAAGGGTGAGTAAATGTGGAATTTTTCAGAAGCACAGAGAACCCAAGGAGGACCAAGGCAAACCAGAAAGGAGTACGTTCAACAGACTGCATTCCTCCACCAGCTGATTACATTACCTGTGTGGTCTAAGGCAAAAGGTTAGAGTGAATACAGGCATTGTATACGATAAGAACAGAGCAGCCTTTCTGTTAGGCTTTATAAGCTTTCTTTAAACAGTATTGCACAATTTAAATCTTGCCATAATCAAGGAGATGCAGACACAGATCCACCCTAGGAATTTTAAACATACTCCAAGTAGAAGAGCAGTGCAGGTTAACCCTGGACATTAAGGATGGGAAGGAAAGCAAACGAGCAGCTATGAAATCTGGAAAACCTCTTTTGGGCTCAGAGCCAGCTCTGCAGCCCATCTGCCAGCAAATGGACACATTACCATTACCTGGCATCAGCTACAGAAAGCAGGGGCTTGCTTGGTGGAGGGGGAGCAAGTGAGCAACACCCACGCCCCAGAGCTGGCAGGTCTGAAGCTTTTAACCATGCCAACAAATACGGAGATGTGAAATATCTGCCCTCGAGTAAGCCATGCTGAGCAGTGACAAACCACAGATGTGGATCTGAGTCCATTTTGACATTTATCAGTGGCTCTGACCATCTACCCAAGCCAAATGTGGCACCACAGAAAGGAGCTGTCTTAGCTTTTGTAATCATGATCCCCATCCCCCAGAACTGACAGAAAAAAACAGGAAAGCAAGCAAGATGACTGCTCCATTTCTTATTGAAATGTATGCCTGCCAGGTAGGGCCATGTCATCACCAGTCTGGCAAAACCAGAAAACATTGCACAGAGTGAAAGCCTCCTACTAAAAGTGAACAATAAGGCAAAACCGAGCGCTTTATTTTGGTAGGGAAGTGGGGTTATCTGTACTTTATGGTTTGGCACAACAGCTTGGAGTCCAACAGTTATGTCGTAGTGGCATGTAAATCAGACTGTATTGATCCCTTACTGTTCAACGATTTGCAAATATTTATGAATCAGTACTCCAGCACTGAACTGCAAACCCCTGGGATTTCTGTATCCAGTTTTACAAGAGATTATTTATGCCTACAGTTCTGATCTTTCTGCTTCTTCCCTCGCCCTTCCCCAAGGGGAGAATTGTAGAGATACCAAAACCTTGCTTTGGGGTTAAAATACCTATGTGAGCATTGCCCATACTTGTTAATGAACTTAAAGTATAAACAGAGACCTCTGGTATTATTCCTTCAACCACTTCAAGCAAGAGTGTTCAGGTGGTGGCTGCTTTTGATCAGAAGCAGACATCATCAGAAAAAGTTGGTACTTCTCCTTTTCATCAGGAGGGTGATGTGAGACTAAAGACTCATCTTGCAAGTCATAGTAACGCAGAGCAGAGAATTTTTTTATTTTCAGAATCATACTGATATACTAACTGTGCAAAGTTTTAATCACATATAAGCAAGTGCAATGATCACATACACGCACTACTCATGAGCAAAGCAAGAACCTCAACAGCTCCAAGTGCTGGTACTGGAACTAGTCTCCCCAGGACCAGTCAGTCCTCACAAAAAGTGAAATAAACTATTTACTGGGGGACAGGCATCACATCCCATTTAGACCAGGCTGTTTAAATGACAGACACACTTAGCCATCAATATCTAGAGTATCCTGTGGGAATCCCCGCATATGCACTCAGAAAGATAAAGAAAAGCACTCGAGGCCTTACATTATTAAAAAAGGAGAATAAAAGTTTTATATTAAACAATTATTTTCTCTTAAATCTCTAGAGAGTAGCAAACATTAATATAGTTCAACTGGGACATTAAGCAAACTGGTGTTAAACAGCTTTTGTTTCTTACCTCCTCAGGTACAATGATTAAAGGGTATTTGTCCTCTGATAAGAAGTTAAAAATAACCCACACTTTAAATGCATCTTCATCACTAATCAGCAAAGGACTTTTAGAGAGGTTCTTTTTAGCACAGAGAGTCCAGCACATCCTGTTGAATTCAACTTTGTCAAAGTTTCCTTGAACCTAAAATGAAGAAATTGAACAAAAATTAATATGCACAAATGGCACAAAATAACAGACAGACAAAGCTTAACAGGCTAAGTCATCCAAAAAGCACCCACAAAATTCTAGTTTGCAAGAAATGTCAAGGTCCAAAAAGAGCACTGTAGTAGCCTAGTCTGACTTCCTGTGTGAGGTCAGCTAAGGAATTTCTAGCAGCAAAATCTACATCCAACTTCCAATTTCTGGTCGAGTTAATAACACCCTGACTTCATGTGAAGGAGGCTACACTGCACTCTGTGTTTCCTCCAGCTCATTAGCTGTAGCTTCCAAACCATCTTCATAACTGTCTTAGTTCCAACTGCCCTTCTATTGCACTGAGTTACTGAGATTTTATGTAGCAAATTTGGAAACCATTATAGCCAAAACTACATGTAGATATGCTAAAAGCAATATTGGAACAATAGCTGGGAAAGACCTTTAATATGTTTTTCCACTTCACATTACTCAAACATAATTCTTGTAGGGTATTCATAATGGTAATTATTTTTTCTTGAATGCTAATCCACATGAAACCTTTCCTTTTTCTCAGACTTGCAAATCTTCACTTTATTGATTAAAAAAAAAATTCCTCTTCTTTTTGTTATCCCTTATCATACCTAGCAACTGTACATACCCATCTGTGAAATATTTACATATGTGAAAGCTTTCATTTCCTCTATTTTCTTTTTAAACCCTCATTTATGTTAGAGATGAAATCTATTTATCTCCCCACAGCTTAGCAATGCTATTTCTTTGCCAACATATAACTGATTAAGGCATGTTCTGCACTGTAATGGAAGTCCCTTGAGTTTTTGGAAAGCATGTCTAAGAAACAGGTTCTTGTACCTCTTGCAATAACGACACCAGTAATGTTCAGTGACATTTTCTTATGATAGGCCAAACCATGCATCTTAGATGCTTCAAGGACACTACTGCAAAATGTATGATTTCCTATCCAGTCTACTAAGTGGTCAAATGTAGTGGAGGCTGAGCCACAGTGGCTAAGACAAAGATAGACTGAGGAAGTGGATGAACTGATGGGGGGGGGGGGAAGGAAAAAAAAAAAAGACAGAAGTGTACAGGAAATCAACCCTATGCCAAGAAGCACTTTACAGTACAGTTTCTAGGACTAAAAGTGAGACTATGAAAGAAAGACATAGACTTTGCATGCTTGCAGAGCAGGCCACCAATGTAAGTGACAATGCAAGAGGCTGGCTACTGGCTACAGCTGTCTTTTGAAGAAGGCGGAAACTATAGGAGCTCTAGCTGCTATAGCCACAAGATCAGCGCCCTGGTTGTTTGCACAAGAAACACGGGTCTTACATGAAATACCAGCTAAGCGAACAAACACCCTTTGGAAGAAGGGCTAGAACCCAAGTTTCCTCCTCCTTCCTTAAATCTGCTGGTGCCTCATCCCTTGGCGGCTTTTGCCTGTGCTCTTTCCCGTCTGCCCTCCCCACCCTGCCCAGTGAAGCTTGACTTCTTTTCTAAAACAACTTCACCCTCCCAGATGATGAGCAGTTCCACCTTGGAAATGTCCTAGTGGTTATGCTGCTCCTGAGGAAGATGCCAACAGGGTGGGGAATCTCCTTTCCTACAGCTACCATCTGGCAAGTGCTCTAAACACTATAAATAAGGTGGTTTGCTCTACAAGCAGGTCATGTTTTAAAAGCACAGCAGCAATCAGTAACCACGGGTGGAGAAAGGCACAGGCCCTGACTGGGGTAAAGGAAAAGTGCGGTTTCTGCTCATGTAGCCAAGCTGGATGGCGTGCCTATCAGAAACTTGTGTCAAAACCCAAGTCACCTACAGCACATCTCTGCCACGAGGATTAGGCAGCAACCAAGAAAGAGGTTTCAGGACCATTTTGCCACAGGGAACTAGGTCACGCTGTGCCAGAGGTCCCACTTTAGACATATAAGTCCTTTTTTTCAGAATCCAGACTTGATTCTGAAATGGACTACCTAAGACACACGTGACATCTGGAGCAGAAACACTGCTTAGGAATTATTCAGGAGCAATAAACAGGTAAGCACACAAGTCCCAGCTCTCCAAAATAACGCTGACTTCACATCTGTGGTTTTTTTCTAAATGATCAGGCTGTCTCTGTTAAATGAAGGATATAATCACAAAATTGTTGTTCAGGGGATACTGGGAGTCAGGGATAGAACTAAATAGTTCTCTTTATTAAAGAATAAAAATTTTCCTCAGCAATTTCATGTAGCAAAGCCAACTATTCCTGGTACCTACATTCAACAAGTACATTTGCACGGGGTAGGAGGGGAAGGAAGTGAAAATCCTGCAACTAAACTCAAATTGCTTTAGAGCTAACTCCATACTACAAAAGTCTTGGCTTGTGCTACTTTGGCTTCCTTTACTGACAACACTCCACTGTAGGTGGCTACATAACAATTACTCTGAATGAATACTCTCTCTGGATTTATGAGAGATTTCTAATCATTGTTTCAAAAATTAAAAATCTTTGAAGAGTTGCTGAAGTTATACTTGAACTTATTTGCAAAAGTACTTCTAACTTAGTTAAGAAACCATAAAAGTATAAACTTTTGAAACAGGAGGTGCTGGTGTCAAAAAGAGTCATAAACAAATACACACATTGCTTTTTCATGACATGAACAAAACATATTTATAAAACCAGATTGGGTCAAAGACTATCCTGGAATTTAAAGAGAACTCCCCAACAGATCTTTAATCACAGTGAGACTCTACTATGAAATCATCTTGGTGTGAAACTAAAATAAGAAATTTATGAGACTTTGTTGAGAAACCTGAATTTCAATTGTGTTTGGCCAGAATACTCATCCTGCTTGCAACCTGTGTGAATATCACACAATTCTGTTGCTTGTAATTGATGAACAAATCCTTGTACAAGAGATTTTTTCTGTGCACTAGTATATGCTTCTAACTGTACTTCATTTGTCCAAATTATTTGAAGTCACCATTTAATTTGGAAACTTCTACAGTAGTCCACACTATTAACTCTGCAGCAACTATCACTTTTATTTGTAAATGTGTCCAAATGATGAAACATGCAAATGAAGGGACCTCTCCAACCTTAAACCTGCTTAAACTCAGAGATAAAAACATGATATATAAAAAAGACACCTACCTTCCCTTTCTAAGAAGTTTCACAAAGTAATGCAAAGACAAATGCAGCAAAAAGCATACAATTTTCTAAATCCTTTAATTTCTACTAATATGTAAAGTGTAATTTACCATCATTGATATCCTACCAAATATCTCTAAAACATAAGGAAATACAGAAGATATCTAGCTTAAGTACCAGCGATCAGATCAGTTCCAAAAATATAACAAGCATTGGTATTGCAAATAGCATGCACTAAGTTGTCTGGAGATAACCTGAGGTTTAGAACGGTGTCCTCCTTTTTCTCGCCCCACTACGACTTTTCCCTGCTATAAATAAGGCGTGTTGTAAAATACCACCATCACCATCCTTGAAAAGGAAACATTTTCAATTGGTATTGAGACATACATTGTAAATAATGGAACATGCTAAAATATGGTTATGAAACCAAATAAAACAAATTATGAAGACATTATACTGGCAGGCAACAGCTCCCTCCTGAAAGGGACACTTACAGAACAAGAACAGATTTTGTTTCAAATGCAGGAAAATCCTAAATACATCTGTTTGCTAAGTAACAAGCAGCAAGATACTAGAAATTACCAATAAGGCAATACTAGTTATTCAAACTATTTATTCAAATTCCCTATTTGGATAAAGTAAATTAGTTGCAACCAATTTGCCTCATTAAACAACCAACTTGTGCCTTTCCTGATGACTCCTTGGTTCCACATAAAGAGGCTTTATTGCAGGGTAACACAGAGTAAGCCAGCACTAAAAAATATAAAAAGCTACAACTGCATTTAAAAGTACAACAGAAGTTATTTCAAAAGGTTACAAAGTTCTCTCAATAAAATAAGTCACAGTGACATATCTGTTTTAAAGAAATCTAAGGATTCATTCTTTAAATATTTTACTAATATTTTAAAGCAAAATATCTTTAGATCAAAAAAATATCTCTTGAACGGGTTGCTCTTGCTCAAATCAATTATTTCACCAGAAAATGTATGACTGGAAATTGAGAGAACTTCCTCTGTATTTGGGGTAATAAAGCACCAGTCCTTCTTTAGTAGCTTTGCTTACTAGCATAAATTAATAGCATTTGTTCTACGATCACCCCATCTAAAAGAACAGATTGCGCCTTGGAAGAATGAAAAAAGAAGGGGGTCCTTGTTTGCTTTTTTTTTGCTTGTTTGTTTTAAACAAAGGAGACATGCTATGAACCAGTGACTTCATCCCACTGCGTGTTGCCTTTTGGCACTGATGCAGAGTCATCTCTAAAAGATGAGATGTCACAATCATTTTTCCAGTTCACAAAGATAGCCTTCTTTCTGAAGAATTTCACTAATTTTTAATAGTACATATCTAAATGGTTTACAAGCATTTAGTCAAGATTAAATAACATGATGTTACAGGTAATTTAATCCTGTTCCTTAACACTTTCATCTTTTAAGATGAACTAATGGTATGGGTATATGAGGCAATTATCAGAAGCCAGATCAGTGTATGAATAACACACAAGAAACCACATGCAGTCGTGCTCTTTCCTTACATAAGAAAGCAAAGTAGCTTGTCCTTTGTTTTTACCATGGGGTAAGAAGGTGCCCCAGAGTAGCTGAACACTGTAAATTCACACCCACCTTGCTTATATAGCCAGCTCTTTAATTTTCAAATTAGAGTGTTATTTAAATGCCATTGCTCTTCATTTCTATAACTGTTCTTCCTATAAACACCCTTTAACAATAAAGCATCTTTACATTTCAAAAATCCTTCCATCTCTATCTTTTTATTTTTAATTAATGACTTGTTACTGCCTACAAATGGTATTAACAAAAACCACCTGGTTCAGACTCTACTACTGTAATCCTTCGGTCAAAATAAAGTAAGGCCTTTTCTTTTTCCCCAAAATTTGTATACAAACTGCTTGGTCTCTGTTGAATCTTACAGGAGCTCAGACAGCCAATAGGAAATGGAAATGAGATCACAAACTTCTTAGGGACAAAGCCAGATTCTCCAGCATCAAACAACCAAGATGTTAAACAGGTACCTTTATGTGTGTATTAATGGCCAACAACTTTCACACATAAACCAGGACACTATTACTGGGTATGAAAGAAAGGCAGAGCAGCTGATAAGTCTTAGCTAGATATATGAAGCTGCTCCTGCTTCCAGGCTGCCAGGCTGCATTTTCTATCTATCTATCTATCTATCTATCTATCTATCTATCTATCTATCTATCTATCTCACATTTTCCACCAGTATTAAATGTAGATTAAAGAAGCAGCAAAAATCAGCAAATTGGGCTAAGGAGTTTGCATAATCTGCAATTGCTGCATTGGACTTTTCAACAGCATGTCAGTTCATGACTTAACATTATAAAAGAAAGCAAACATGTATGTATCTGCAGCCACAACACCAAAGTTTGAGGGTTTCTGGGGTCAGCCCCCATGTGTACAAGAAATCAGTGGTATTGTAGCTGGTATGTTTGCACTATCACGTGGGCTGGTTTTTACCGTCTAGACCAGTCTCTCAACAGAAGTCGTCAGAAAAAAAGCAGGAAGATTTTTTTCACTCTCAAAAATTTCAACCTAAATCTCAAATGCACAGCTCCCAGAGCCCAGCTCTGACCCAGTGACTACATATCTTAGAACAAGATGGAAGGAAAGTAGGGGCAACCTACTTTCCAGAGCTTCCTCCAAAACAAAGCACAACAGAAAACTGAAGAGCGGTCAGACACAAAAGGAAAGAACTTGCAAGACGGAACTTAACAACACTCCCTAATGTCACCCACTGCAACTATTTGAAGGGATCTATTTATTAGAATACCTTGTGAATAGACATTAAAGATATTTTTGCCCTTTCTGTTTGCAAAGGAGTCTATGACAATATTCTGTTGTAGCCATAGTATAAAGTGGGATAATCTATAGCTCCGAGACACTTTCAAATAAATTCAAGCTGAGGCGCTTTATTAATATGAACACGGTTCTGCATGAACATAGCTTAAACAATGACCAGATGTATAAGGAAATAAAAGCCAAGAAGAGAAAAAAGAAGTAGAGAACAGTGCACCCTTCCATTTTAAAGCACAGGCTCTCCAGAGTATCATCTCCATCACGACCCCACACAGACACACTCACAACCAGAGTGTCTTCACACCAAGCTTCCTGCAAGCAGTCTACTGTAAAGACGCTCTAATACAAAACCTGATAAAGGGAAAAACAGAACACAAGAACTCAAAACTTACCTTTTCCAAAATGAATTTGTTTAGATAAGGCATGTAACCCTGATTGGAAACTGGTCCTTCATCATCATCCCTAAAGTGCTCCTCCAAGGCCACTGGATCATGTGGAACATTTAACACTGTGCACAAGTTGTGAGAAAGGACCTAAGGACAGAAGAGAAACCAGTGACACTGCTGTCAGCCTTAACCATGCTGTATTCCCTCCAAAGCAAGGCTGTGATGTGCAAAACCATGCACAGAAAGTGACATCTTCACATCAGCACAATTTCTGTCCTACAGATTTTTGTCAAAAAAACAAAATGTAACTAAAAAAGTTGAGTCCAAGGATTTGATAGCTTCAGACAGTTGCACATTTATAGAACCAATGAGATCATAGATAGGTCCATTCCTACACAAGTACAAACACAGCCACAGAAGGTTCCCTTTGTACACATATACTTACGCATTTGAAAACCAGAACAGGCGTGCAGAAACACCAAGGTAATATTTACAGAGTGAAATTAGACAGCTAGGGAAAACAACCACAAACACCTAGCCTTTGAAATTATAAATATTTACTATCTAGTGAAAATGAGTAAGGAAGAAAACAACTCAATATGTACCCTTATTTTACCACACAAATTAAAGCATTAACTACAGATTTCTCTTATCTGCTTGCTTTTGGGCTTCTTCTCAACATTCACCCCATATTTCAGTTGGCAAAGGAAAAGTAGTGTTATAGAAAGGGGAAGGGTTTAGGCGTGCTTCTCAAAATTTTATTTTAAAAAGGTATTTGCATGAATTATGTCAAGAGCTTAACACCCACCGGCACTCATGTCTGTTCTTGAGAAATGACCTTCAAGAAGAGGCTACACACTTGATTAGTTTTAAGGAAGTACTGAATTACTGAAAACTAACTGGTAGCAAACACATCTCAACTTCTTCAACTTAGGCCGAGTTCTGCACACACAAACTAACACCTCAGTACCAACAAGAGAAAGGCAGCCTCTGGGTAGCAGTCACTCCTGTGCCACCAGCACTTTCCTAAGAAAGGCAAAGCACCACCCTTTTCGTTGTTCACACTGTTTCGAGTCAGGTCAGTCCTGAAACACGCCGCCCGCTGGGTCTTAAACACGCTGTCACTCGGGAGCCCTCTCCCTTGGCATAATGCAGAGTTAAGCCTCTGAAGACCACATACCAGCTACAGGAACTGGGTTAAGGATTTAACTTCACGTGCCCAGGAATGGTCTGCATTGAAAAAACGTAACTAAGAACCAAAGGCAAAAAATACAGGTAAAACAAAATTAGGCAGAAGTAAAGCAGATTTGCATCTTTTGAAAATGCATGCTGCTTGTGGTTTGGTTTTTTTTAGATCAACAACTAGACAGGACAGACTGCAACTGAATTTTGGTGTATGTTTTACTTTTTCACTGTGCAGCATAAAATTAAAAAAACAGACCTAAATGATGCAAAGAGAAAGCAGTAAAAAAATGTGCAGAAAATTTCTAAGCGAGTTGACATAAAGCAGACAAGATGGGGTAGCTGCAAAACAAGAAGTGAAAGTCTGAATTCGTCAAAGCCTAGGAAATCAAACCTATGCCATACACTTAAAATGTCTGGGCCCTGCCCCCCGCCAAAAGTACATTTACTTTTCTTATGTATGATAAGGAGACATGCAGAGTTTAAGTGCTAGTTAGCATAAAATCCTACAAAGATAGTCCAAGATGCACGTTCAGTTCAGATCAGAGGAGAATTCCTTTCTACATACCTCCAAAGTTACACTTTCTTTTAGAAAAGCACACATTTCCACAAGAAATATGTATTTTCATTGTCGTATGCTAACATTAAGCCACTGGAGCTAACCAGGTGCAAAAGTTAAAAAACAGGAAAAACCATAGCATCAGCCATATTACAACAAAAGCTGTATTTCCCAAAGTAGCAAAATAGTATTTAGAAGTTATCACATTTCATACTACCCTCCATCAACAGTATATTTCCCTTCAATCTATCCTTATTTTTAACCACCACATCAAATCGAGTATTTCAGTCCATGTGATTTACATATGGAGGGGGAAAAAAAAAAGTACTATCATGCATGTTTCCCCTTCTATTTAAGGCTTCTGTTGTTATTTATAGAAGACTGAGGGATTCTTGAATTTCTGAGAAATAAAGATGATCTCAGTTTTCCAACCAGACCATAGTTGCTAATACTATAACTAAAAAAATACTCAACTAATAAAAATATTCTAAAAGCAAAACTGATTTAAGCTTATTACCAAAATAACTTGAAAGTCTCAATAAAACACTTTCTCATCATGTCCCTTCTACATGTTTCTCTTCTCCCTTTTTCAGCCTTCTTGCTGTGCTTGGGCTGTCAGAAACCTAGGTGGTTTCCGCATCAAGCAACCAATTTACCAGGAAAGAATTCCACTTTCAATCTTTTTCTAAGATCTGCCTTATCTGCGATCTCTCCTGTGCCCAGTGCTCTCTTTTCATAACTCAGGAAATTCCTCAGGGCCTGCCAAAGCCTGCCATTCTCTAACACAGCCAAGTGCCAGCTGAATTCTTCAGTTGCAGGGTAAGCCTGAAAAATTCTGCACTGAAGTCTCGTTTTGTTTTGTTCTCTCAAATCCCATTATCTGGACCATGATATACTCTATTTTAATGATCAATTAAAAAAAAAAAAATCTAGCTGAGTATTAGGTTAACTGGGGTACAAAAAATCGCCTTGCCTTGCAGAAGCTCCATCAACCATGAGGAAGTTTTGCACCAGTAAGGATTATTCCCCCCATGCCCACAGGGTTGCTAGGCAGCTTTTTCATTCAGCACTTATTATGCCCTGGATGCCACATTTAACAATCTACCTTGATGCCACAGCCAACTCCTACCCCAGGCCAGAGACCCATCTCTGTGCTGCACCAAATGGCTACATGGTGGTCCCCAAACTGTAGTCCATGAGACAGCAGAAGTGGTCTGCAAAGGGTTCACAAAACCAGTGCGTTCTGGGTGCAATTCTTCCATTTTCACTGAAAAATTTTGTAACAAAGATGCCTAGTGGTACCCAGGGAATACTGACAGTGTTCTGCTCTAAATATAAATAACTGGATGAAGCAAGCAAGCTGAACACCAAAGGTCTTTGGTTTTACTTTATTTACGGCCAATCTCATGCTGCATTACCTGGAGTGCTGATCTCCAGCCCAGTTCTACTCTGCCACTGCTGCTTCCCTCTGAGCTCCTATTTTCCAAAACATTGATCTTCCAAAATTTTGAGCACGTGTTGAATTGTTACCATTTGAGTAGTTCCATTTAACCTTGTCCATAAAAGTGACCTGTGTTTCTAAAAGGAAAAGGAAGATCTGCTAAACTACTTACTGCTCAGTGACAAAAATTTGGCCCAGATGATAGTAGGAGCACTAACAGGGCAGACTAATCCTACAGCAGTTATTGTCAGTTTCTTCAGTACTTTTTTCTTTTCCATCTTTCAGGGGGGTCCTCTCCCTCCCCCCCATCTCTTTTTAAGATTTTTAAATGTTGGCATCACAGATCTCGACAGCCGCATTCAGTGGCTTCGTGTGAATTCATTCCAAGACATTCTTGGCTCATCTCTCCCCGACATCCATGTCAGCAGCTAGCCAGCCAGAATAAGGCTACTCACAAGTACTCTCCCTTTTCCTTTTTTGACCAATGTGGAAACCAGCATTGTGTATGTCCCTTGTCACAGCCACAAGGTCTTTTCAACCAGGGCATGTTTTAAGCATACAATTTCTTGCATCACAGCCTCTCCGAGGTACAGCCTATCCAGTCAGGTAGCAAATACCATGCAGAGTGTCATTATTTAACACTGGGGTTAGTGCAGCAATCTCTTTCCCAGTCGGATGAGCATATTCAAGCCCAGCCTCCACCAGCTCAGGTTCCTGACGCTAGTGCTCTTTGCCTACATCACTTCTCTACATCTCTGTTCCTTCGTTTGTTCCCTTCACCCTTGGGCACTCACAGACTCCTTGTCACCATTTTTGAAAACGTCACCGTTCCTCGTCTTCATTATCAGCACACCCACTTTGGCCCCCAGTCACATACTGGTGCCAGTCTGCATCTGTCCAGCTGCCAAGTGAATTGCTTTTCTGCCCTGTGGCTCCCAGCCCTTAGGAGGAGCTCCCAGTAAACGTCCTCCATCTACCACACCTTTCTTCTACATCTTCCTTGAAACCAGTTGATAAAACATCATGGACAAAGGTTAAATGGGCTGCTGATCCACAGGCAGTTGCTCCTCTCAAATGTGGTATCACGGCCCCATCACTTCCTAATGCCCCCCACTTTTGGTCTACAAGCTGCCTTGGTTTGCCACCTCTTCTGGAAGAGGGACATCCCTCCCCTCGCACCTGACAGACACGATTCCTCATGGCTACCCTAACACAAATGCTTCTGAACGCCATTAATAATGTCAGAGTACAACTCTCTCATAGTGAGTCATACTGACTAATTTCCTACCCTCCTTCAATGCTATTCAAAGTCAATTGTCCAGCTGGGGTCCTGCCCACTCGTCACAGGCTCTCAACCCTTAAAGTGCCTTGCTACATTGTTCAAGGTCTTCCTCTTCGTTCAGACCGTCCCTCTTGCCCCCAGTTACACCATTCTTCCTCTTCCCACCAGCCACTGACTTCCCATTTAGTAAAATGACAAAACAAAGATAAGATGTATAATAATCCTATAACATACCAAATACGACTAAAGACCAGTTTAAATTTTATGACTGGTAACTTTGGTCACCCACATCTTAGGGGCCCAAATGAGACCATATTTTCATGAGGCACTCACCATCCACATTCTGCAGATATCACACCAGGAATTCAAGACTTTGAAAATCCACCCCAATGTAGCATGCAAAGCAAAACGAGAACAGCCAAATAACCTATCTACCTAAGCAGAGACAAGTCACAAAGCAACGTAAGGAAGAGCTTCCAGAGAGAGTGTATTCTGTCCAAGATCCAATACATACCACAAGGAGTTTTGCCGGCTGTTAAGTGTAACTACATTTAAAACCACAGTGTTTCAAGATCCAGATGAAAAGCAGATTGAATGCTGGCACATTACAGAAACATTTTAAATAAGTTAATTTTAAAATTGCAGATTACAAGAAAGATGAAATTGGATTTAAATATAGGAAA